TCGTGGCACGCAACCCATAGTTGCATTCTTTTCAGGACGGAGGTAGTATCAAACAGCCATGTTTATACTACTTTTTTAGTAGTAAATTGTGAACAACAATAGAATGCCTAGCTTCCTGGTGAGAGAGAGAGAGAGAGGTGTCACTTTGCGTGACAAGGGTGTGGAAGTGGACCCTCTTGAATGGGCTTAGGCATAATCATCAAGATTATGACAACTACCGTGTAAGTTGTCTTGAGAGTTGAGACTGTTAAGCGACTTAAAAGGTCCCAGGCAAAGTGTTTGAACTGTAAGTTAGAAATAGTCACTTGAAGAAAAGCAGGAGATTAACAAACAACCTTAAGAAATTCTCTTTGTAAAGTCACTAGTAACCATAGAGGTAACTGGCTAGAGGTTACCATGTCTATACACTGACATATGAACCAGTAAATCATTGAACAGTTGGATCAGCCTAATCTTAGATTGGACCATTAGATCCGTACTCACATGATCATTCTTAGTGGCTAATATTTCAACAATTCGTATCCGTACTTACACATACATCTCCTCGGGCTGCAATTGGAAAATTGGATTCCAAACCTAAAAAAAAGAAGAGGAAGAATAGGGATGGTTACCAGCAACGCAACAACAACCTCTGGTCAACTAATCTTGGTGCCGACGTCGGTGCGTGCTCCGACGGAGACCAAGGGCGGGGAGCACATACAGCCACGCCACGGAGGTGCAGAGCGCAGCCGCGGCAGCGATCTCCGCCGGCGCCGGCCGCTCACTGAGGCCGACCCCGCCGGCGCGCCACCGGCGGATAAGGATGTAGAGGGAGGCGACCGCCAGCGCCCTGTACACACGGTCGGGGTGGCCTCCCATCGCCGAGGCCGAAGCAAGGTCGCCGCCGACGAGGTGGGTCGAGCGCATGGCGAGATTCTGACGAGGGAGTTGGGGAATGGATGAGGAAACCAGAAGATTTGACTGCCGCGGGTCAAAGTCAAAGGTCGTTCGTTTACAGACACACAGTTCCAGTTCGCAATAAACCGATAACTTTTCAAAATTTCGTTTTATTATATTGATAATATTTTTCGACAAAGAAATTGTTTTATTGAATTCCAGAATTATTACAGAGATAAGTAGATTTGGTTAAAAAAAATCTTAGGGGCGTTTGTGAGAGCTCTAACTCCATCTTCTTCAAAGAGAATTACTCCTAACCAGCTAAACAGTTAAAATGTTAGAGAATCATTTCTCCGTTCAGTCTCTCTATTATATTTTGGGTGGGAATCAGCAGAGAATTTTATCAGCTCCGCACCCTGCTCTCCTAAGAATCTAACGAAATCACTTCATCGGAGAATAAGGGACCAAGAATCAAACAGCGGAGCTCTTCTAGGGTCTTAGAAATATCGTAGCCTTTGCGCTACAAAACATAAAAGGCTATAAACAATTAAGGAAGTATATTTATGTGAATTGAACGTAGCGTAGTTTGTTAGATTTAAAAAAATATATATATATCCTTTCATATTTAAATTCTTTAACTTAATATAAGTGGCTCATATTTTTCTCCTCGGTTAACTACCATGGTCAATTTAGTTTTGACAGAAATCGTGTTGGTCTTGAGTTAGTACAACATTAGCATGTTAAAGTATTTGTCGGCAGATCTAACGTACTATGGTACCGTTTAGTTCCACTCTAAAATGTTAAATTTTTTAAGATTTCTCGTCACATCGAATCTTTGACGTATACATGAAGCATTAAATATAAATAAAAAATAAAACTAATTACACAGTTTAGACGAAATCCACGAGACGAATCTTTTAAGCCTAATTAGACTATAATTGGACACTAATTGCCAAATAACAACGAAAACTACTATAGTGTCATTTTGCAAAAAAATTCGCCATCTAAACATGCCCTATATTTAACGATTAAAGCTAAAGTCGATTGTGGCGTGGCTAGCGCCCTAGCGTTGAGCACCCACCCACACACTGCCCCCTCACCTCCTCCTCGTGCTCACTATGAGCACCACACACCACGCTCTGCTCCTCGGTCTCGCATGCATGCAGCGCGCCCCTCTCTAATGCATGCAGCTGCAGGAGTGGTAATAATTTTTTCTCCGCACGCACGGTTCCCACACGAATGCGCTTCACTCATGAAGAAATGGAACGGCTCCTGCCTCGCCTACAACTATTGCGCCTGCACGCTCGCCCCCGCCTGCCGTATGCAACTGCTACGCCAGCAAGTTGTGCACATAACCGCGTCACATGCTTGTTGACGCGCCACACTCTCGCTTCGCTTGCCGCGCACGTGGAGACCGCTACGCCCGCGGGCCCCGCATCTGCATGCGCCAGCTTCCTAAGTCTGCTAATGTTGCAACATGAAAATACTTTTGTAACATACGTCTGAAACATGTGAAACATTTAGAAATATATGTTTGCAACATATGTGTATATTAATTACAACATCTAAATAAACACACTTGCAATATACGTCTGAAACAAATAAAACATTTTGAATATACGCTTGCAACATATGTCTGAAATAATTGCAACATATTCAACATCCAAATGAAACACTTGCAACATAGGTCTAAAACAGGTGAAACATTTAAAACATACACTTGCAGCATACATGTATAACTACTGCAACATATGCAATATCCAGATAAAACACTTGCAACATACGTTTGAAACAGTTAAAACATTTGAAACATACATGTACAACATACGTGTATAGCCATTGCAACATATGCAGCCACAGATCTACTTTTGTAACATTCAGATAAAACATATGCAACATATATCTAAAACGTATGAAACATACGATTGAAACATGTGCTCATCTATTTGCTGTCGCCCAATGGAGGCTAGTTGACGTGGCGCGGGAGAGTGCAGGGCGGCGCACAGCACGAGACGTGAGGCGCGGACGGCGCAAGGCACGGGCGGGGCGCGTGGCACGAGGCGCGAGGGCGCGGGGCGCACGCGACGCGAGGCAGGTCTGGTGCGACCGCGCGAGGCGCGAGGTGCAGTGGCGCACGGCGCAAGGCGGGGAGGCACAGGCGTGTGTGCGGTGTGAGGCGGGTCCTCCTGTCCCCGTCCGGACAGACGTCCTGATAGGAGCATTAACGAAATTCGGCAATTGGATACACCATCTTTGGATGCCATGGCCCATGGCCTTAAAAACTTAGGTTTGTTTGGAACGCAGAAGAAAATCTTGTTTCTATGTTTTTTTTGTAAAATTGAACTAATTTTTAACATGATTAATGTGAAATTTCTGGATTCCAAACCGGTGTAAAACACGAATGGTAAAAAAAGGACAAATGCTGCACAGCACTCCACGCTGGCGAAAAATGGTCCGTGAACCTAGCGTTCTGTTACCGTGTGTTTGGTTGCAGGGACGAAGTGGGATGGGATGGGACGGACCTAGGACGAGCCGTGTTTGGTTGGGAGGCCAGCAGGGTCGAGGACATCCCACATGCGAATATACCCCATCAGATGCCGGGCGTCCCCGTCCCTAGAAATTTCATGGACGGGGACGCCCCAGGTGGGACGAGCCGCGAGCGCGCACTATCGGAAAGAAGAGCGACACGGAGAAGAAAAGAGAGAAGGCCGTGGTCGGGCGTGGTGGAGGCCGGTAGGGGTGGAGGTCCATGGGCGACTGAGGTCCGGCGAGCTTCGGAGGTGGAGATCCAACGAGACAGAGATCCACAGCACACATGCGGCTGCCATGGGAGCAGAGCTCCGCCCTGCACCCGTCATGGTCGGCCCCGCGAGCTCCGCCCGGCGCCATCGTGCCGCCCGGGCCCGGCGCGAGCTGGGCTCGGGCCCCGCCTATGCCATGGAGGAGGAGGAGCCTGGCGGCTCATGCCCGAGCTTGTCGGCGGGGTGGCGCGCGGCTGAGCTCGCGTCGTCGGCACGGCTCGCGGTGGAGGCGGGTTGCGACCTGGTGCGAGCGGCTGTTGGGACGGGAGGATAAGGGGAGAGAGGGGAAGAAAAAAGGACAAATTATAAATGGGTCCTATTTGTCAGCGATAGATCCCACTTTTGAGGTCTCCACATCAAACAAAAAATGGATTGACACTATCTCTCATCAACCAAACAGAAAAAAAATCATCCCATACCACGAACCAGGATTAGAACTATCCCACCCCGTCTTATCTCTCAACCAAACGCTACCTTATGCCTTGTTTAGATTGGGGTTAGGAATCAAAAAAATATAAACTTTCGTCCCATATTATTGTCCAATCATGGTCTAATAAGGCAGACTTAAAAGATTGCCTCTCGTAATTTACAATCAAAGCGTGTAATTAGTTATTTTTTTATATTTTATCTCTCGAAAGATTTGATGTGATAGAGAGAGTGAAAAACTTACAATCTAAATCGGGCCTTAGGCCTTGTTTAGATTCCAAGTTTTTTCACCCTCTCTCATCATATCAAATCTTTTAGACATATCCCTGTAGACCCAATATAGTTTGATTGTAAATACCTTAGTCACAGACTAATTATCAAATATAAAAGCGAAAATGCTAGGTCAAAAACAAGGCCTTAGTCACAAACGCACAGGTCACCCAACTGCTCCCACGAATCGAACAACTACCACTGCCTCCACCCTCCACCCACGCGCACGGCGCACGAGAGGCGCGAACGCAAGCCACGAACTCTGCGCCCCGTCTCCGTGCACCCGCCGCTCCATGGCCACCGCCCCAGCTGCACCCGGAGGCCTTATGCACCTCCGTCCTCCGCCTCCGCGATGCGTGTCGCCTCGCGCTAGCGCCTCCCGCTCGCCGCGCATCTGGAGCCCCCTGCCCCGGCTTCGCCTTCGCCGCCGCCGGGCCCTGGCGCTAGCGGCGCCTTCGGTAGCGGCCGCGGAGGCGGAGGCGGAGGCGTACACGGAACCTGAGCTGGTGTTGCTCGAGGCCCTCCTCGGCGTCCAGGGCCGCGGCCGCGCCGTCGCGCCTCGTCAGCTCCAGGCAAGGGACTCGCGATTCACTAGACCTATGGCGAGCGCACCACGTGCTTGCTGACATGCAGGTGGGCGTGCCACTGGAGGTTGACGCCTTTTCGTGGTAGTTGCAGGAAGTGGAGAGCGCCGTGCAGGCTCTCGAGGCCCTGGGAGGCGTTCCTGATCCGGTGCGATTTATAATCTAATCCGCTTACCCGTGATACTTAGTGGTTAATTAGTGAAGTCAACTGTCAAAGATTAATGCTTCAGATGCGAATTAACAAATGGGTTAACTTAAATCTTCCATATTTAAGTTGAAGCCGACTGAACAGAGAAATTCTGCTGAGGTTTGAGCTAGCAGGTTTACTGCCTTAACAGCGATAATATGCTGGAGCTGAAGCTTCCTACTTAGGAGATTGTTTAGAGCTTCGTATGATATATCCTTGCACAGAATAAATCAGTTAACATCGTGTAATTAAGATTACAGACTCCACTAGCTTAACTGAATGACACTATTGTTCCTTTTGGTAGTATTGATTTGATTTGACAATGAATATCTGGAACAGCTAAACTCTAATTCTGGTGAGGCATTGCATTGATTTAGAATTCAAGATAAGTGACTCAGGGAGTTTTTAGTTTAGGAAAAAATAAACTCAAAACTCTGTTACCATATGTGCACCCAACAAAGCTCAAAATGTTCTTCTTGAAACTAGAGGAAAGCTTGCCTTCTTAGGCTTATTGTTTCTCTGTTGACGAGTTCAAGTTTAATCGAAGGTAGCTGGCAGCTCATCTTCACTACAAGACCAGGAACAGCATCACCCATTCAGGTGGAGTTCAAAATGCTTGTGTTGAAAATACATGTTCCACTTACTATTTGTATCTGTATTCTTTCATCTTTGGATTGTGAAAACTCTAGACGGATGACTAAATCAATTGTCGGTTCACATTTCATGCAGAGGACATTTGTTGGAGTTGACTCCTTCCGTATCTTCCAGGAAGTTTATCTTCGAACAGATGATCCAAGGGTGGTCAATGTTGTCAGGTTTTCAGAATCAGTTGGTGACCTGAAAGTAGAGGTAATTTCTGTGTCAATGTCACTTGATTTTTTTTGAAGGTCAACGGGGGAGGTGTTCCTTGCCTGATTTCATATATTGGCCCAAAATAGCCCGTTATATAGTTTACAAGGCATTTTGTACATTTCAAGGGCGAACGGCGGCACAACCAAAGATACATCAAAAGAGAGGAACTACAACACCAAGACACATAACTCTTCAATGATGCCTCCAAAGAGGTGAATGACGCTGCAGCGTAATCATCGTTGGCCAAGGAGCAAGAGGTGACTCCGCAGGGACTTGGCAAGGCTTTTGCCCGAGCCTTGTGCCGAGGAGTTGAGCAGACCGATCCAGGAGACGGCAGCAAGAGGTTCTACAATGACGCCTTCCTCGTCACTGGCCCAGACTGATCTGAGCTAAGTTTTCGCCCAGAACCTTTGCCAGAGAACCTGTTGACCAGCCCGAACCGGAGGGAGGCGCGCACCTAGGCGTAGGGGGGCTACCGGTCGCCGCCACACCACGCAGAGCCGTTACCGGACTCGCCCGCGAAAGTGGGAGGCGCGCATCGGCTATCGTCCTCACCTGGACGGAGAGGTGGGGGTGGGGTTGCCGGCCGCCGCCACACCGCGCGGAGCCATTCCCGCACTCGCCCGCGACGGTAAGAGGCGTGCACCGGCAAGCGTGTGCCGGCCGCCACCACACCGCGCGGAGCCGTTCCTGGACTCGCCCGCAATGGTGGTAGGCGCGCACCGGCACGGCGCCGGCACGCAGCCCCACTGCCGGCAAGCCCGTGGCCAAACTGCGCGCACCACGCCGCTGCTGCCCCTGCAAAAACGAGAGCTAAGAAAAAACGGGCACGCTGCCCCACCGCCGGCTCGTCCGTGGCCAAACTGCGTGCCCCGCTCTACTGCAGGGCCACACCCAGCCCGCCTCCGGCCAGCTGGTCAGCCAGCCATCCGGCCGTTCGTCGGCCGGCCAGCTAGCCAGCCAGCTGCCGGCCCAAGCCAGGCAGAACGCCAGGGACTACGGGGGTGGTTCGTTGGCCAGCACCTTGGTGTACTTGGCCATCACCGCCCGCAGCAACTCGCAGAGGCGCTTGGTCTCCATGCCGACGCGCAGGAGCTCCGCCTCGAGCGCCGGAGATCCGCAGCGGACGGCGCGCCAGTGGCTCGACCCGTGCACCAATCCCCGTCCCCGCCGCCCCAGGAGCGTGGATATGACAGATCCGAGGCAGGGGGCACTGGGTCCGACCCCTGCGGAGACGGATCCAGCTCCACGCCGGGGTCCCACACCAGTAGCTCCGTCGCCGGCACCACCGGCGCCAGCAGCGTTGCCCGCTTCGGAGGGAGGGGGGGCAGCAGATCCATGGTCGTGGGCACCGGATCAAGCCTCCGAGGGCACGGATTCTTCTCGTCGCCGGTCATCTCGACTGCCATGGGAGTAGAAAGAAGCTTGGGGAAGGAGAGGGTGGGGAAAGGAAAGGAGAAGGCGCGGGAGGCCGCCTTGTTGAGCGGCACCGCAGGCCGCCGCCACCACTTCGTCGGAGAGCAGTGGTGGCAGCCGAGGGGGCTAGCTGGTGGGGGCGAGTGCGGGGGCGGCGGGTTCGACATGGGGCTTTAGGGATTTGCATCTTTCCTAGTCGGTCTTTCATCTGTTTGTGCTTCCTGCATCCCTGATCCTGCCATTTCATTTACTATTATCTTTCATGTCAAACTATTTTTAGAGTTCAGTTCTCTGAATTAATTATGTATCTACATTCCATAAAGAGCTTTATTGGTTTACGTGCATTTGAATTACAGTGAAGTGTTGGTGTTACGTTCAATGTGTGTGTGCACACCTTAATTTTACTCCAACATAATTGATGAAATGTTAAATTACAGGGAATCAGGAAATATTAATAATGTATCTACTTGTTACGAAATATGTTATTAGACTTATAAATGTATCAAAGTGATGAAATTTTACATTACAGAGACTCAGGCAATATTAATAATGTATCTACTTTATGAAATTTGTTATTGAACTTATAAGCTTATCAAAGGGAGTGGATGCTTGTCAGATTTTATTTGGTATCCAATGCTAATTAGCAATCATGTCTGAGGTGTTACATGCACATACAACTTAGCATGTCAATACCAAATTCTCAACAAGCTTTAACAAGTGAAAAACAAATTGGCATTTAGGATTCTTATTCAATACATGATTAAAAATAATACTCCCTCTGTTTTAGAATATATAACATTTAGGACATGATAATTAGTTCATTTTTTGTTAATTAGCTTGTCTTAAATGTCATATATTTGGAACGGAGGGAGTAGATAAGATATGCACCTGACCTTGCCAATTGTTTATGACATCTATTCTGTTATGATAAACTGGAAACCTACACTCTTAGCATCACATTAAATGACAGTATAGCACACAGCTATCACTAAACCCAAAGAAATAAACTTCATTACCTTATCCCTGTTTTTGCTGCTATTCTTCCCAGGCAAAACATAATAGGCGGTAACATCCAAATTAATCTGTAATCGAAGAGGTTCTGCAACATTAACCATCAATCTTGTCATAATAAACATGGAGGATGTTGGAAACAAAGCATTGTACTGACTTAGTGAGAGTTAACTATAAAGAAATAAGGCCTTATACTGCCTTAGGGAGAGTTAACTGTAAAGAAATAAATACTTGTATTGCCTTAGGGATTGTTACTTTAAATTTCTTTTACAATACTTACAATAAGGTGTTTTATGAAAATAAAACCAGACAGAAGCAACTATTAAGGATGGAAAGCGCATACTTTTCCGTTTTGACCGAGCAGCATTCGCCTTCAAGTTTCTGCCATTTAAAGTTCCATACCCAGTGCCATTTAGACTTCTTGGAGATGAAGCTAAGGGTTGGCTTGACACAACATACTTATCCCACACTGGGATCATACGTATTTCAAGGGGAAACAAGGTACGATGACATAATCTTGATGTTATTTTACTACCTTGACAACATTGGAATGTTCATAAATGCAGCCTTGAAGCATTTAAGGTTTTGATTTGTTGTATATTCTCCTGATTTAGTAGAAATCTGCAGCATATCAAGTCCATAACCCTTCTATATGGAAACTATTTGGCTTTGTATAGACCTGCTTGTATTTCATCATATTTTCAAAACAATCTGTAGTGCAGGGAACGACTTTTGTCCTACAGAAGAGTGCAGAGCCAAGACAGATCTTATTGTCAGCTATATCTGCAAGAACAGGAGTAGAAGAGGTGTGTGATTACAGCTTGAATCATCCATCGTCGCACTAAATGGAGACAAGTTATGTGTACAAACTTTCTTTTTGGCTAAACAGGTCATCAATGATTTTATTTCAAGCCAAAATGGAACAAAGACTGATCTAAGCATTCTGGTGGGTGAATGGCAACTATTGTGGAGTTCACAGGTTAATCTGGATACTTAACTAGACTCTCATACTGGTTAAATTTGCATACATTTAGGAGTCCTGAAAGTGCTTTGCCTTTCTATGGTTGCAGCCTGAAGGTGAAAGTTGGTAATCTGTTGCATCTGCTGGTCTCTAAGGACTTCCAGGTCAGTTTTAGAATGAAGTCAAACAGTAAAGTGATTGTGTGATACTTTAGTGTGGTTTATTGGCACTTGGCACCTCACATGACTAATAGTAACATGGACTTTCTGTTTAGATTATAAAAGAAGACGGGAAATTAAAGAATTCAGCTAGCCCCTTCCCAGGTCTCACCCTCAATGCAACAGGCAACATAGGGTAAGTCTGTAGAGCCTCCAAGAATCAATGTTTATTTGTGTTTCCTGTCAAGGATAGTTTGCATTTGTGCAAGACCGTCTTAATGAAGAAAAAACAGAACTCCTTATTCCACTCCTCCAGCATGCGTGATCTATAGTTGTTGAAGCAGTTGGCCTTCTACCTGAAGGAAACATTATGCTATACTTACTTTTGTAAGTGCAAACATAAAAAATAAGCTGTGCACATACAGGGAGGGAAATGAACGTTTTGCAGTAAGACAGGGTGTACCAGAATGTACAAATTATTGCACGAAAGTGCATTTTGGTTTCCAGTTCTGAATCAGCTTCACATTGCACTTGCAGCAAAAAAGGGAGTGGCAACACCTTTACCGTGTCCATGAAAGGAGCTGTTCAAGTTGGTGGTTTGCAGTTTCCCTTGGATGCTCAAGGAGAATTTGTCATGGAAATATTGTAAGTCGTTCATGATTTCCTGAAATTTAAATATGCAAGTTATACTTGAGAAAAATTTCGGTTTCTGGTGAGTGGTGGCTCAAGATAGCAGAGAACTAATGCTTATTCTGAATGAGTTTTTTTCTCTCTCTCTCATTGCAGGTATATCGACAACAAGATAAGGATATCCAGGCTTAACCAGCACATGCTTGTCCATTTACGCATTACAAATACATGACACCCTAATGAAGGATATGTGAACATATATCTTAATTTCATTGATGAGCACACCTGATATCAGATGTGACTACTTCAAGCGACATATTTAAAATTTAGTGGTGTATAGCTGACCCTATTTTAGTAAAAAAAACTCAGGTTGTGTCTACTTAGTTTTCATGTACTCAAACCGTTTTCTCAAAAATATATGGAACCACAGTTTAGCATTTTTTTATTAAAAAAAGACAGCTGAGCATTTTTTTTTATGGCAACATTCTGTCAAGGCCTGTTTGAAACCAAAATGCCCTTTTGCAAGTAGAGTAACTTTTATTTTCTTGATGAGCCCGGACATCCAGTCAGGCTCGTGTTCGTGCTGCCGGATTTCTGTTTCAGGACTGAATATGACTGCTCGTCATTCTCATAGTATAAAATGGTGTCCGAATTGAGTGCCTGAAATCGTGCAGCCGTACCTATTAACCTGACGAATTATGTGCTGTTGAAATTTGGCACCCCTCCAGAACATGCAATCTATTTCCAGAGCAGCACGTAGAAAACGAGAAAATGTCCAAGTCCAAAGGACTAGTGATGAACATGTAACATGAGGCAAAACATAGCCAATATCAGATGGTTCAGATGGTTCACCGTCCACAAGAACTTTGTCAGCAACAAAGACGATAATGTAATGTAAATGTAATCGTCTGTCATCACACGAACCCATAAAAAACATCCAACCTAAATTGTGGTACATTAACTCAGCCAAGAAAAATTATTGACCGGTATGAACAATTTCTTCCTATCTCTATAAAGAATACAACAATATAAAAAGATTTTGACAGAACTCATATAAATTTTGAGTTTACACAATCCCGCCCCCCCCCTGGGATTGGGGTGGGTAGGAGCTACCACAAGCATGTGGCAGCTCTTCAGAATTTGCAGCTAGAAAGTATGAAAGGGACTCGTCCAGAGTCCATCTTCATTCAAAATTATCTATGCAGCAGCGAAACTATCACATAAGGTCTTGTATGCTGCGCTGCAATGCTTGAATTTCTCCTCCGCTGTAGCCTGTCCATCAAACAAACCCCATATGCTTAATTAGCTATGTAAAATAACAATATTAATTATTTGTGTTGTAATGTAGAACAATACCTTAGATGATCCACTGTGGCGATCTGGATGCCATCTAAGTGCGCATGCTCGGTATCTAGTATCAAAGAAAGGAAATAAATGATCAAATAATCTTCGGAACAGTTCAAAAGGAAGTATACACACAATCTCTGCCAAAAAGGAAAAAGGACTCAAAGACATAAAAATGCTCAAAGGTCTTATGCGCTTTTAACATCGTCAAGTTTTAGCGGACCAGAAGTGCTCAATCCAAGAGCTTGTCGTGCCAAAGATACCTCTGATGGAGCTGGTACTTCATCATCCTTGTCTGTTTCTGTTTCAGAACTCCAATTTCTGGATTTTTCTGAGCGAGCACGTCTGGAGTTCCACTGAAAATTATCAGATGAAAAAGACCAATAGTATGTGCCTTGGTCTCGGAAAACATTACGAAACCGATTCTCTGGTTCATCCTCATCACTCGTGCAAAAATCAAATCCTCCTGTAGCCAAACAACAAATAACTAAAGTTTACACTCCATAAGATCCATGGTATGCCGACTAGTAAAAAGGCATTGATATCATCGAAGTAATTCTAATATTCATAACATAAGATGCCTTGCACACTTATATACATCTGTAACATTTCTGACAAAAACTGTTGGACATTGAAGGCCAGCAGAAGAACTTTTCAATCCAAGTTACGATCTATAGAGAAGAATAACTGAAATATCTTATAAGATAGGAAAAGGAAAAGGTATTGAACCTTTGCTTCTGAAATTCCCGGAATAAAAATCATGTGTACGGAAACCATTGTTGTTTGAATTCCTGACCCAACAATGTCCTCTAAACCATGACGGCCCACTAGATGCATCATTTTTCTCATCTTCATCACGCCAACTCTGAACATCAAGAAAAATATAAAAATATAAATGGATCAGAACATTCTGTATCTGCATTAAGCATTTGAGAGACATTATTGAAAGCTGAACCAACATTTTCGCAAGAGTGAAATGAACTAAAAAATGCCTTAAACAATGGAAAGCAGAAACAGAACAGGGAGAGGGAGGGGGAGGGGGTTCAAAAATAAGTTGGTTCTTTCTTACTCTATCCCAAATTTCACAAAAAAGGCACATTCTTTCGTATTGAGTACTGGAGTCCTTATATGGACATAAAAGCCCCCAAGTGTAAGGCATCAAACACTACCCAGTCTTCTTGCATGAATATAAACAGCTGATTCCGAACAACTAATACCAAAATCTTCCAGGGATTCAATTTGCAATTGTTGTGCTATGATGTGGAATCTAGTAAGAGCTTCTGGAACCCACCACACCATTCTAATTCTTTCAGGACTCTTTCTTTAGTATGCAAGGGAATATGATAAAAATATAATACTTTAATATACTGAACTAGTGTGAAGAGTAACAAGATCAGAAGACTTACAGGATTTGTGATCAAAACTGAAATATCATGAAAATGTGAAATGCTTCATTACACTGACCTGGAAAAGATACTCTGCATACTCTGACATGTTCTGTAGCATCGACCTTTTAGTTTCTCTGTTCTTCCTACGTCTCGTATAATAGTTGAATCTCTGCTCAAGCATAAGGTATATCGCATTGGTTCTTTCTCTATTGAAAGCACAAACTATTTTGTAGTAAGAAACAACGTTGCTTGTGACTGATCAGTTAGCACAAGCTTCTAGAAAGATAGAATGCTATTTCATTGAAACCTAAGCAGGCAAAACAGAGAAACCGGCTGAACCAATCACTGTGAGTATAACATCGATTAAAAGATTCATCTTGAAAAGCACAGTGCAATTTACCACAAGTAGGGATGCACGTGGGTATTTAATGATTTTTTTCTGGGTCAGCTAATTAATTATGGTGCTGTCATTTTACTTCAACCAATCACTGTGAGTATCCTCAATTTTTGCATCTATCACCCTGTGCAGAGCAGGATAACAAGGAAAAACAAACACACCAGATAAAATCTAGTAACATTAGTTTTATAATGCGAAACTATCTAATAGGATTCTGCATAAACGCTTCACCAATCGTTCCCTGAATAATAGTCCACCATGTGATCCTCAAACGCACATCAATGGTGCGGCAGACCTGGTTCTGCACAGGCTTTCCATCCCATCAAACATATTCCGGGCCAGATAAAAATAACGCTCGGATCAAACAGAAGGAGACACCATTTGTCATCAAAGAGATTGCAGGAAAAGGGGGGCGGACGGAAGCGGGATTACGTATTTATACATTATGCCACTGGGTCTTGCGCTTTCGCTGCAGAACGGGTGTCGAGTGGAACGGCGCAGCGCCCCCAGCTGCTGCTGCGGGACCGCCGCCGCCGCCGCCGCGAGGGGATGCGTACGGTGGCCGGGGAAGAGAGCCGACTTGATGCTGTTCATCGTCGCCGGTACGGCCGCCCACGAAGACGGCGGCGGCGACCTCCGGGGACAGGACGGCCGGATGTGTGGAATCGCCGTTTGAGCGAGTGGCTGATAGCTGGTCCGGCCCGTTAGAGGCCCAGAAAGCCCTTCTACCTCGTTTAGGTCCCCTTGAACGCGGGATTTAACTCCCTAATAAAAAAACCAAAAAAATGACGCGTTTCTCAAGATAAAAAAAAACTAAAAAAAACTGACGCGGTTGATGGCGGCCGTACGATTTTTTTTGTCCTGAATTATAAACTCAGTTTCTAAACCCCTTCAACTTCTAAAAATCATTTATTTTTGCACCAGAGCGTTTTTTAAGATGGTTTTGCTGAGGATAAATTGAACCAAGTTAAAAGTTAAAGGGGATTAATTGGACTAGAAAATGTTTTCACAAAAAATACCTTAGAAATCATTTAAAAAAACTATCCAAATATATTTTTACAAGAAAGAATAATGCAATTAAAAATCATAAAACTATATTTAATCTTAGAAGTTTTGTTTTTAGCTTGGAAAACTATGAAACTAGCTTCGGTTTTTTTTCTAAAATCATGCTCTATATTATGGTGCATGGCTTGAAATTAGCTTGAAATTGGACAATCGCGATAGTTGAGGGGGGAAAACAGGAATAAGTTGGAAATGTGTATACAAGACGAAGGAATGGGAAGCACAGGAATTTTATAGTAATAGGTGTTTGGATCAACCTCGAAAAAAAAAACAAGGAGCGAGAAACATGCGGCTTAAGCGGATGTGTTTTCTCATGTGGGTTTCCTATGAAATCAAGTACAAAAGAAAGTTTTGTATGTTTTTCTGATTCCTACAAACCGAAGAACGTTATAGTAATTCAATTCATATATGAATTCTTCATTTTCTTTGTTTTCCCTACAATCCAAAGAGGGTCTTGCAATTTTATTAAAGCATATCCAATGGTAAAAGAATTCATCCTAACAATCTTAGTTTCATAACCTTTCTAATAACAAATTTAAAAATTGGGTTTTGCGATATAGGATGAGCCATGAGCCTTGTGTTATCATTTCATTAAGGTAGGATAAAAAAACACTGAAGGAAAAGAAACACAGCCTAAGTACAAACACACACTTGTAAATAAGAAACTAAAAGACCAACAAGACCAAACACCCATAACCTAAGATGCTAGACTCAATTACCAATAGAGGAAAAACTCCAACCTTAGATGCAAGCACTAGAGGCTGCACTCATCCTCATCTTTAATGGCATGTAGTAACTCATGAACATTTGGTAAAGAACACTCAAATACACAAGAACTCCGATGCTTCCAAACATCTCTGGCCACTAAGCTTATAAAAAATTCAGTCTCTTACACATATCCTTAGGCATACTCCCTAATACTCTTCGTTCACCAACTAGAGAAACAAGAGGATGTGTTTTGAGCAACTGTAATAATCAGGTGTAGATGCTGGAAGGGATGAGACACTACCGGAATCGCAAGCTTTGCCGAGTACCAAGAAC